GGTCGTGTGTGTGTGTGTGTGTGTGTGTGTGTGTGTGTGTGTGTGTGTGTGTGTGTGTGTGTGTCAAGGGGCAGTGTAGAGCTGAGCTGGCTTGGGGCTTTGCTGCCCTCCCGTCCCCGTGTAGCTGTTATGCCCACTGGGATGAGGCTAAAAGCCTTTAAGGGACAAGGCAGCATCAAACGTCTATTGCCCCTCCCCCTTTAGAGCAATATTGCCAGCTCAGGTACCATGGTCAATTTCAATGAATGATGCTCCCTCCCTCTCCCTCCGTTCATCACTCACGTCTCGTTGCCATAGCAATGGGGACCAGGGACAGCCTCTGCGGGTTCCCTCGCGGCTCACCCCTGCTGGCCTCTGCAGAGACATTGGCTCCGGGGTATTGTCTCAGGGGAGCATGGCAGTTCCCTCCTCCCCCTACACCGCATTGTCCCCTCCACTCCATTTCTCCAGGGGATCCTGCTGGGATCTGGTCCAGCGTGAGGCTTCCTGCGATCCTAGGCCTGGGTCACCCTGTTAGACCATGGGACCTCAGTTGACTGGACTGATGCGGTGCAGGTGTCCGTGGGACAGCTGGGCAGGAGATGACGAAGGTCCTGGAATGAAGCTTTGGTTCATTAGAAATATGTCCCTTTGGCTTTTCCCCCTGCAAGGAAATCAGCCAGGAATTCCACATCACATGGGACGACAGGCTTAGTGGGTTAGACTGAGCTCCTCGGAGGCTTCCGACAGGTATAAGCCGAGCTTTGTGAGCCACGGGGTGAAGGCAGGGACGGGAAAGATTGTCTCATCTTCTCCATGACTTTAGGCCCCCGACGGCAAGGTATGGGCTTGATTTTAAGTACATGGGTCATTAAAGTTAACGGGACTATTCACCCGCTTCAAATGAAGCTTGTATTTAACGGCTTGCTGGACTGGGGCCTGAGCAGATGGGATGGGCACTTCTTATCGGAAGGCTCAGCGTTTGATCAGTTTGGCTCTGTCTCTGACTCACCAGACGTCTTGGGCTTTCTAACGCTGGGTGGGAAGAGTCACGAGAACTTGTTCTCTCTCATGATTTCTGGTCCTTCAGGCTTCCAGACAGACCCGAGAAATCCAGAACAGATTCCCAGTGTGTGAACAGGCCAGGAATCCCATGGAAACAGCCTGCCCTGCGTTACGTAAGCCTCCCTTCTTCCAGGCTTGGTTAGACCTCGGTAGAACAGGTCCCCTACTGCTGAAAGCTAATGGACGTCATCCCTTTAGCTGGAGCAAGCGACGGTTCTGCTGAAGGGCCTGTGTTCAAACCCACTGCCGATCCATGCTATGCTGCAATGATACCGTCCAGGTTGCTAACTGCTCTTGGACACTGTGACGGACTGGCTGCGAGTTGCCCCAGAGCCAGATTAAACTGGGGGTGCCTGGCTCCCTTTGGGTGTGTAAGTCTTCCCCAGGTGTCCGATCCAGGTGGACTCGCTGCTGGGAGCTCGCGGCGTGAAGCCGGGGTGCTGAAGGCTCAGAGGTTTGGTCCTAGGAGGCGGTGCGACCAAAGGGCTGACCCCAGCGAGAGACCGTGACCCCAGGGGTTAACACTGAAGGGGGGTCCTCCCAGGGACTGTTCCAGAGAGCACCGGACCGGTGGATGCGACAGCCACTCAGCCAAGCTGTGACGTTCAAACCCCGTTTGCTCTGGTCCTGGACAGCAGCAGCCCTATTTGTTACATTGCACCGCCCTGGCCTGCATGTCCGTGGAGGGCACATATCAGAGGGGATGGCTTTGGAGCCTCCGAACTCCCTACAGCCCGTTGTCTCAGTCCTCCCATCCTTCCAAGAGCCTGGCTGGTCTGCATGGTCTCTTCACCTCCCCTGCCATGGTTACATGCCACTTATTCACCCAACTGATGCTCCCTACCCCAGAGGTGGCTGCACTTTAGAGGTACCGAGAACCCAGATCCTGGTTCCATTGAAGTCAGTGGCAACATTCTCATTGATGTCAAGAGCACCAGGGTTTGGCCTGCAGCCCAGCTAGGGTGACCAGATGTCCCGATTTTATAGGGACAGTCCCTCAGAACTCTCCTTTGCCGCGATGCCTGCAGAAAATGAGAACCATCAGGCTGTTGGTGCACTGATACCATGGCCTGCCACGCCAACCAGTATTGTCTGATCATTTCCCTGTACTCCCCAGCTGCCCGTCTCCATCTGTCTGTGGTCTCTTGCCTTATACTGAGATGATAAACGCTGTGGGGAATAACCGTCTTTTTGTTCTGTGTTTGTACAGCACCTAGCGCAGTGGGGCAGGCTCCTAATGCTACAGGAATACAAATAATAATAATGATTTAGGATGGAGCGTGGAGGGTGTAACTAGGAGGACTGGGGTGAAATTCAGAAAAGGACGATTTACCCGGAGCAGCAGGAAAAACGCCTGGGGAGATGCGGTGGGGGCTGTGGGGTAGTGGGGAAGGGTCGTTATTTCAGATTTTTAAAACTAGCCTGGACAAAATAGTCTTTTCCATCGTGTATGGGTCGGGTTCTCTGGAGGCCTCACTCCCCTGAAGGCAAGGGAATTAAACCACTGGGAATCTGACCCCGCTGTTGGGTGTGTGACGGATTGAGTGACACGTGTCTGATGTTTCACCCTCTGTCTCTTTGTTTGTTTAATGGACATCGGAGTCTCTTCAGGGCAGGGATCGTGTCTCCCTGTAGGGGCGAGTTCAGCACGTGGCACAATGCGGGCAGGATCCTGGCTGGTGCATTCGGGCAGCCCTGTAATGTCCATTAATCGGGTTCTCCAAAGCTCCCTGGATCTCTCCGGCCCGCTTTGCTCTCCCCCAGCCTCTCTCCCCAGGTTGAAACTAGCTTCTTTGTGTGACATCATCCTTTGGGTACCTGGCCTGCAAGGAGTTACTCAGCCAATCCCTGCTCCCCTGACAAGAGGCCGCCCAATCAGCAAAGGCCCTGGGCTCGGCCAATCGGCTGGCTCGGAGGTGATGTCATGGGGAGAGCCTGGCAAGCAGGGCTGATGCTGGCAGGAGCCCTTAGGAGCATTAAGTGAATGAGGAGCACCGGGAGGGACAGCCAGAGCAGGTGTTGGGGGTAAGTAGCAAAGGCAGGGGAAGCAGTGAGAGCTCAGGGAGGGAGGCCAGCGGGGGGGTTTGAACCCTGGGATCCCAGGTGGGTTGTGCCTGGCATTGGGTTAGCAGGACAATCCCATGGGGAGGAAGTGGCGCGAGGGGGTTTTACAAAACCCATTGGCACCGTTTGCCGTCTTTCTATTCCGTGTCTCCTAAAAGCCCATGCGATCCCCCCATGCAGAGTGGCTCCCCATCACTGGGTGCGTCCAGCTGCAGGCTCCCTCTTTGTCTGTCTGTCCTGTCTGACTCCCACTTTGCTTTGCTGCTTGGCGAGGTGCAGGCTCCGGTGCCTGTAGCAGCATCCAGGAGTGGGAGCCACTGGACCACTCCAAGAGAGACGCCCAGCTCCACCCCAACAGCTGGGCGCCAGCTCCTTCCTTATCATCATCCCAGAGCTCATCTGTGCTTGGAGCAGGGCTGCCTGTGCCCCGCTGGTGGGTGCATCCACCCGGGCAGGGAGAAAGTGCAGTGAGTCCAACTCTAAATGCACTGGTTGGTTCTTTCCTTTCAAAAGTGGGGGCCAGTCTTTACTCTGGGGCTGCATTCTGTATGTTTGACATTTTCTTTCCTACTAATCTGTCTAGCCATAACCTGGATTGCATGGGGGTTTCTCTCTCTCTCTCTCTCTGTCTTTCTTTCCTTCTCAACCCCACAATAGGTGCATTGGGCCTGATTCTGATCTCCAGCTGGTGTAAACGAGGAGTAGCCCCACTGAAGTGAGTTTACATGGGGGTAAAGTCAGTGTACGTGGGATCAGGATCAGGCCCGCTGCGTTCAAGGCTCGCGGGCTGTACCCAGAGCACAGGCGGGTCTCTGATCCCACTTCCCATCTGGCTGCAAATCGCTGCCTCCCTGTCCACACACCCCACCCACCTTTGGGGGGAAAACTCCGTTAGCCCCGAGTGGGGCCAGTTAGGGTCACTCCCTGTTCCGGAACATGCCCCAAGGATGTCGCCTTTGGGGGCAGCCCCACCTGAGAGCCAGCTGGGGCGGGACAGGATTGCAGGGGCCTGGCCCGGGGGTTCCCAGGTGGGACGTCCCAGAGATGGAGCATTCCAAAGAGGCTTCCCCTGCCTTGCTAGATGGGAACAGCAGGCATGAAAGCAGCGAGACGTGAGGAACCAGCCAGGGGACGGGGGGTGCTGTCAGTGCTGGAAATGGGGGGGGGGGGAGTCTGCTTTATTGATGGAGGCAGGAAACGTTCTTTCCTTGTGATGTCTTTAAATATTTATTTCAGATGGGGAAGGGGCAGGTGAGAGAGAGGAGAACTGGGCAGCAGCTGGAGGGCCAAGAAATGCATCGAGATTTTAAAAGCTGAACCAGCCCTGGGGAGGCTGGAGGTTTCCCCACCTGGGGAGGGCTGTGCAGGCAAATCGCAGCAGCCCTTCCAGACGCACGGGCGCCTCATTGTTCAGCCCAGATGAGCTCATCTGGCATTATGCAGGGCGGCTGCTGCCTCTGTCTAGCAAACAGCAGCGCTCCCAGCAAAACTAACTGGAAGTCATCAGTGGGCTTGTTTTAACCTCCAGCGCCTGCTTCCACAGTCCTGGGGGGCTCCCTGCCCCGCAGACTGCCTGGCCTACGGGCTGTTTTCAGCTGGGATGCTGGTGCCCCTCAATCCTGACCTGCAGCCCCCCGGCTATCCCAGTTTTTAGCCTCTCTTGAGTAAAGAGGTACAACGTGGAGATTTGTGTGGCAATGCTGAGAGATGGACACACATCCACTGGGGCCTGGGAGGAATCATAGAATATCAGGGTTGGAAGGGACCTGAGGAGGTATCTAGTCCAACCCCCTGCTCAAAACAGGACCAATCAGACAGATTTTTTCCCAGATCCCTAAGTGGCCCCCTCAAGGATTGAACTCACAACCTGGGGTTTAGCAGGCCAATGCTCAAACCACTGAGCTATCCCTCCCCTCTGTTTCAAGTGTTCACTTCAATCAGGCCTTCAGAAGGGCTAGCCTGCGGCCCCTGCCGCGCACTTCTTCATTAGGAGCTGGGG